AGTAGGCATAACAACTACAGGAGAATAGTGCATTATTACTCTACATCTAAATTTAGTAGTCATAGCAACTACAATAGTAGGCATAACAACTACAGGAGAATAGTGCATTATTACTCTACATCTGAATTTAGTAGTCATAGCAACTACAATAGTAGGCATAACAACTACAGGAGAATAGTGCATTATTACTCTACATCTGAATTTAGTAGTCATAGCAACTACAATAGTAGGCATAACAACTACAAGAGAATAGTGCATTATTACTACATCTGAATTTAGTAGTTATAGCAACTACAATAGCAGTCATAACAACTACAGGAGAATAGTGCATTATTACTCTACATCTAAATTTAGTAGTCATAGAAATTATAGGAGAATAGTGCATTCGAACCAGACCTGGAGTCAGCAGTCGTACAAACGACCAGGTATAGTAATTGTTCTAAATGTCAAGTTGTGACAATGACGATTAAACTAAAGAACCATTCTATCCTTTAACTTATGATTTAAAATATAGATGGCAGCACTATTAATAATAATCTGTATTTATTGTTTCGAGCCTCGTACTTCTTACTTTCTCATCACTGGGAAATGTATTTATATATATCTATATTTGTGACGATTTTTACCTTTATTTATTACAATATTATATTTAGTTAAAATTTGTAAAATAGAAGGCACTTTATTATATAAATGAATGCTTCTAAACATTCGTTTACATTTCTTTGAATCTAACTTAGTGTTTCCACATATTTGCCAAAAAAAAAAGAAAGAGAATGAAAATATAGATTTAAACATTAGTTAACACAATTTAGTAACTACAATCATAGATGTCACAACAGTCGCTTTACTATGAAATACCAAAAATATTTTACATGGCTAGATCGCGAGTCAGTCAACATGAATTATTTTTACTTAAAGGTCTGTACGAAGTTTATTCATTTCGAAAAATTACTGTTCACAAGAACGGGTCTCTAAAAAATATCCTCCATTTTTATATTTCTCAATAAATAAAATAACTTATTCTAAAGTTTTGCATGTTCCTGAATTACCTCAAATGGCTGACATGGTACTTTAGGTATCTTCTTAAGCGTGGGTACCGTGGTAGAACTCTTACACGCAATACAGATAATATTGGAGCCCAGCGAACCAATAGGAGTATTAGGTTTGTAGAGAATTTCCTTTCCCCTTTCTGTAATAACTTGGATCACGTGACCTCCTGGGCTGATTTTATTGGCTGTTGTCACTTGCACCAAAAGATCCATCATAGGTGTTCTTTGACAGAAAAATAAAAGAGAGACCACCAACAGAAAATATGATGTGATATTTTGTTGAAATTAAAGGGTTGAAAGTTGCTATAGTTACAGTTGCTAAACAGTATCATTGTTACGGTTGCTTTGGTCATCCACAAACAGCAATATACTACTAAAACACTTGTAGCATTGAAAATCACGTGAAAATGTCCAAAACACTGTAAGGGAAAGTAACAATATCGTTGATGTTCCAGCCAACTTACCATCACTGTACCCCAATAATTGGTTATACAATTATGATTTTTTCTTTACAGTGACTTCAGCCACATTTTTGTATTTTGTAACATTCAGTTACATACAGAAATACTGCTATATTGTAGAAGCTGACAGACACTGTAGAAAACGTATAACATCGTTTATTTTCTTGTTTTCATCACAAGACAAAACTTACCACATCAAAAACAAACAAAAAAAAGAATGAAATTCTTATTGATAATCTTCCATGACTCATAACGTGTCACTACAACTTAGGTGTAGGACAAGACAATCAGATACTACACGATATACAATTTGGGATCCACACTACAACTTAGGTGTAGGACAAGACAATCAGAAACTACACGATATACGATCTTGGATCCACACTACAACTTAGGTGTAGGACAAGACAATCAGAAACTACACGATATACGATCTCGGATCCACTTTAGAGGTGTAACCAAAGCATGGAAATATAAGTAGTCTTTTGTTTATCGTAACCAAAGCATAAAAATATAAGTAGTCCTTTGTTTATCATAACCAATGCATGGAAATATAGGTATCCCTTTCTTTATCATAACCAAACATGGAAATATAAGTAGTCATTTCTTTATCATAACCAAAGCATGGAAATATAGGTATCCCTTTGTTTATCATAACCAAAGCATAAAAATATAAGTAGTCCTTTGTTTATCATAACCAAAGCATAAAAATATATAAGTAGTCCTTTGTTTATCATAACCAAAGCATAAAAATATATAAGTAGTCCTTTGTTTATCATAACCAAAGCATAAAAATATATAAGTAGTCCTTTCTTTATCATAACCAAAGCATAAAAATATAAGTAGTCCTTTGTTTATCGTAACCAAAGCATAAAAATATAAGTAGCCCTTTCTTTATCATAACCAAAGCATAAAAATATAAGTAGCCCTTTGTTTATCATAACCAAAGCATAAAAATATAAGTAGTCCTTTGTTTATCATAACCAAACATGGAAATAAAAGTAGGCCTTTCTTTATCATAACCAAACATGGAAATAAAAGTAGGCCTTTCTTTATCATAACCAAAACATGGAAATATAAGTAGGCCTTTCTTTATTATAACCAAAGCATGGAAATATAAGTAGGCCTTTCTTTATCATAACCAAAACATGGAAATAAAAGTAGGCCTTTCTTTATCATAACTAAAGCATGGAAATAAAAGTAGGCCTTTCTTTATCATAACCAAAGCATGGAAATATAAGTAGGCCTTTCTTTATTATAACCAAAGCATGGAAATATAAGTAGCCCTTTCTCTACTCTGGAGGACAAATTTTCTGTAAAAATTGTCGTGATCTATAAATGTCAGCAACTTACTGAACGACAAGTTTCTGTAAACTTGTGATCCTCATGATCTAGAAACTTCAACAACTTACTGAATGACAAATTTTCTGTCACAGTTGTCGTGACCCAGAAATGTTAACACGAAAATAAAAATCCAGCAATAGTCTTTCAACAAATTAAATGACAACACGTGATGGATATGCGAACATAATTAATTTAGAAAAAGGAAAACGGATGTTTACACATTTTACTAATTTTAGTCTTAAAAAAGAAATCTGGGCTTTGCGAGTGACATTTGTTTATAATTTCTGCATCATTAGTGGCAGATATTTTTCCTAACACCGAACGGGTAATATAATATTTCGTTTTTAATTCTAGCTTCTCAACATTCTAAATGATTAATTATGTTTTGCATACACCTCACAAAGGGTCATTATTGACACCCCTGAAGGTTGTTACCCGTTAACGACAAGGTAACTGATCTTTCACTAGTTTTAACCACCAAGTAACGAAACTGTTGAATTCAGTAAGATATTTGTGGACTGAAATATGTTTGTATATTCAAGGGCTATCTGCGCTAGCAATCCCTATTTTCGAACTGATAACCCCGAGAGAAGAAAGCTAGTCAACAGTACTCACCGCCAACTCTTGGGCTACTCTAATTAAATAGTGAGATTGTATTGTCACTTTTATAACGCACCCACAGTCCCAAAGTGCGGAGAGTCGTTTTTGTTTTTTTTTTTTTTTTTTTTTTGGAATACAACACTAATCAAGGATTCGATGACGAGGAACCCACTTTAAGACTAATAATGGCTGGAGACGGCTTAAATGGGTAATGA